TGGACAATCAGTTCAAATTTATACAAATCATCCAGGATGATATTATGGATCGTCCTTGATGATTAAAAGAAAAATTATGTTATTTTTTCTTGGATGATTTAGGAAAATCAAATATGTCGGCAAACATCATCCAATACGATATATTGATTGTCAAGGATGATCTGATTGAACAATTTAACCATAATTAGTCCCCTAATCACATAATCAATTTAGACATAATTTATAATGATCGTCCATGATGATCTAGATCGTTCAGGATGATTAGAACAAAATTTGAATCTTAAATCATTGCCTAAATTATCATTGGCGACTATTTTCCAAGATCATAACGAATAATCTTGGATGATCAAAATTGTCCAGTATGATTAGTTCAATGAGCTGAACGTCCTAGATGATATGAATCCTCTAGTATAATTAGTTCAAAACTTAAACTTCTGATTTTGACTCAATCTCACTCCTCCTAAGTGTGTGTGTGGATGGCCACCAAGCAAGCAGACACCTTTATAGGATTTGACTCAAGAAATAAAAAATATATCAATGAATATTACAAAAATTGTTACAACATAACATATTTTATCCAATTTTGAGTCTTGAATCTTTATTAGAAGTAGCATGGTATTCCTGAAAAATTAGAACACACACAAACAAAAAAATATTGTAAATACAAGTAGACATAGGATGTGAGTCATAATATTTATTATCATCAAAAATATAAACTCGTAAGCTCGAGTTACAAAATGCCTCCAAGAGACAACATAGATAAATATATATATGTATTTTAAATTTCTTAGATTATTATTAAAGGTGGACTTATCATTTCAAAGAGTATTATCTAAATAAAATAATCTATGCTTTGAAATAGTTCCGTAGACCAAGTGAGACAATTGTCTCTCAATATAAAAAACTATGTAATAATGAACTTTGAATCACTAAAAGGTCAAAGGAAGAGTGCAAGAGCTTAAATGGGTAACTAGTACTGATAAGGAATCCTATAAAATAAAAGAAAAAACCTAATTAAGAATTTATTAGTTGATCAATTCGTGTTAACCCAAGTTTAACCTAATTGCACAAAGAGATCATACAAGGGTGTGCATAATATTCTTTATTGAATTTTGTTGTGAGAAAACTAAACCAAATAAAATGAAATTTCAATTTTGAATATATTAAAATTTCTCAAAATAATTAAATAAATATATAGAATATTTTTAAAAATTATAAAATATTATAAAATAGGATAGCCATGCAATCTTAAATATCCCATGATGAAGGATTCCAAATTTCAAGCTAGATTAAACCAAAAAAAAAAACCATATCATTCAAACCATTAAAATAATTCTATATGGGGATGCTAACAAAAGAAGTCTAGTTAGGCCTAACATAATTTAACCATTTTAAGAAGAACAGTTTATTGAAATAGCCTAGCATGTCTCTTTTGAATTCAAGTAGAGAACTTCACATTTTAAAATAAATTAACATAACTAAATGTTCAAAATAAATAAAACCCTTAAAAATAATTTTAGATTAGGATGTTAGTAACATAATCTTTTTTTCATCCCAACCTATTTTTTTACTATTTTTAGTATATAAATTTAATCAAATGATTTAACATAGCCCATTTGAGTTTGGTGGAGTTAAGGTTAAAGTGAAACCTCCTAATAGCTAAAATCAGACTAACTCCACTCAACCTCTAACACTCCAAAGTAACACCTTCACAATTCTAAATAGGTTTTAGATCCCCAACTTAGGCTTTAATATGGTTAAACTAAGGTTATGAAGGGATTAACACTAGTACTCCTAACCAATGAAAAGCATCTAGATATTGTCCAAGTATAGTACTTGAAAATTACCCCTCTCAAGTCCTGAGCTATCCCCAACCTTCTATATGGCTAGTTGGAATTAGTTGGGGGAAATAACAAAGAGGAAACTATGATTGCAACATTGTTTCTTGGTTGATTATTCTTAATTTCTTGGTGATATAAAAAACTAAAGGCAAAAATAATAGGAACATTCCTTTTTTGTACTTGTGCAAAGTTTCCACATAAAGTCAGCTAGTGGATAACATTCTTAGAATCTTGGAAGGACAAAAATGAAAGTTTAAGTTCATAATGTACTCATTAAGAGTCAGAGTGATGAGAACACTTTCTGATCTTGGGGAGATTGTTTCCTCTCTAAGAAGTTAATAACATGAAATTAAATCCAAAAAAGTGCTGCTTTGGAGCAAGATAAAATATATTTTTAAGATATTGTCTCTTTCTAAGGTATTCACCCAATCTTTACAAAATTTAAATAGTGATAGTCATATCATCATCAATGTTAATCATAGAGAAAAAGAAACTCGCAAGGAAGCTTGCAAACCTCAACATATTTATCTTAACATCAAAGGAAACCCATTCTCTACTCATCAAAGTTCTTTAAAGATTAAATCACTTGCAATGGGATGAGAAATAATGGAGAATGATTCTAATAACTGAAGAAACCCTTCTCTGCACAAGTACTTAATAGTTTGAGACCCATTAAATACCTCAAATTCTATCACAAAGTTGAAAAGTACGTGGTTAGTTCTGTACTTGTTCGGGAAGAGAATGGAAGGTAGTTTTCAAACCAGTATTTTAATAAAAGTCTAGGAGTCTCAAAATTGAACTACCTTTTAATTGCTAAGTTGACACTTACCCTAGTTACTTTAGTTGAATGTGAAATATTATTTCTTTACATATAAAACCCATGTATTTATCATTTCCACTCTAGATTAAGTGTGCTAAAGGCTCAAGCCTGGAGTAAGCTCATGAAATGACCAATTGAGATAAGTGAATTAGACATCAATTACATTAAGAAAACTGCCAATAAAGCATAGGTACTTCTTAATTTCATTACTAATTTTTCAATGCATGAACCCATTGAGGTCAACCATCCATAAGAAATTTAGAGTTGGATCATGTACACTAATATAGCTTTAAGAAAGATTAATAATAAAGTTAGGGTTATTCTCAAATCCCGCAAGGGCTAGTCTTCCTGTCCTCTTTGAATTTGAGTTTTAAAGCAAAAGAAATAGATGAGATATGTATAAAGTTTTATTCATTGAGTTATGCCTCATGATTGGAGTTGGCACTGAACACTTGAAAGTTTATTACGATGCATGTCGCATACTAAAACAACTATTGGGGTGCTACGAAGTGTGGGACCTAATTCTTAATAAATGTATTAAGGTAAAAAATGAAGATATGAAGCTTTGGGAGTTTGAGATAAGATACAATTCATAAAATGAAAATCAGATTACTATAAGTTACTCATAAAATTCAAACATCTTCATGTTCTCTCTTATCTAAGACTCTTTTAACATCTATTAATGAAGAAATGCTCACTATATCTTAACCTAACCAATAGATTGCTCATAATTTTAATTATCTTTCAAAAGAAAATTAACCGAAGAAAAGAGTGAAGCATGATATCTCACGTTTATGTCAATATGACACTTTAACTTAGGTCAAGAGGTTCTACATAAGAATTTATTTAAGATGTATGCACAATAATGAAGTCAAGGAAATTATGCACAAGGTTCACTCAAAAGAGTGGGGAGTTACTACAAGCCTTACAAGATGCATAATACCCCAAGGATACTTTTTTCCTAATCTTAGGAAGGATGCAAGCAAGAGAGTTTGTAAGAAGATGTAAGAGTTACCAACTTTATAGGAAGGTCCTTCACCTAGAATCCCAACCATTAAAACCCATAATTTCTTCCCACATTACCTTTCGCATTATGGGGGGTACATTTCATCAGGCATTTTCCCAATAGCATATTGTCAAAGAAAGTTCATATTTGTCATAGTGGGATATTCCATGGAGTAGGTAAAAGCCATTGCATTGGCTCAACCAATAAAAGTAGTAGTTATAAGTTTTCTCTAGTTAGAAATACTCTCAAAATCGGACTATAATCAATAATAATAATAAATAATATCACATTTTTTAGCAAGAAGTTAGATAATGTATAGACCAATAATAGGATTAATCTAAAGCTATCTTCAAGACATACTAGATAAACTATTATGTTAAGGCTACACAAGTTGTAACTAATCTGATGAAAAGGAAAGTCATTGAACACACTACAATGTTGCCATCTCAAGTAGATTTGTTGGGATTAATATAAATGAATGGAATGTCATTGTAGGAAAATCTTAACTTGATCAAAGAAATAAGGGTTCAAACACTCCAACACATGAGAAAACTTCTGGCCCGAGCACTTTTTTTAGTTCTTTTTTTAAAAACCTTATACTAATGGTCATTGAAAGTACCCAAGGAATTGCAATGGAGAATTGATCATGGCTAATCAATGCACTCAATAAAATCATAAGATTAATTGAAGGAAAACCATGTTTTGTGCATCCCAAATATTTCCTCTGGAAAATCATATTTTGTGTGTTCCAAATATTCTTCTGAATGAAATAAGAATTTAAATATAATTTATTTAAACAATGGGGGTTGGGTTTGTAAAAGAAGTAAGTTCTTGAAGCTAGTCACATCTTGAGTTTGCTTGATAACCATCTTGATTAAGAAGCTTAACTTATGTTCAGATGCTTGTATGCAGGGTAAGTTATGACATAGGATTAGATTATAAGTTTGAAGTAGACTTAGGGTGCATTTTGGACAACTATAAAATTATTGTAAAAAATATATTTTCTAAAGTTAATGTACATAAATTATTATAATTTGTTTGAAAAATATAATTGTCACGTTGCTATACTGCAGCTATATGCGAACAAATTACAATGGTACTCTTATATATATATATATATATTGAGTTGAAAAAAAATTATGTATATTTCAAAAAAATTTTAAATGTATATAATAACAAATTAGCATTTCTAAATTACAATTGTACCCATTTTTATGAAATATTTTATGTCTTTTAAATATCAAAGTACTCTAATTTTTTTTTTACAATATAATATCTTACTTTAAAATTGTCTTATCTATATATGTAAATGTATTCCTCAAAAGGCCAATAATGAGTTATATTCTTGGTACAGTAAACTAGTTTGATTACAAATAACTTGGAATCCAGAAATGATCTAATTACATTGCTAATAAGCTCAAATTTAGTCTACAGAATACGAAAATATGTAAAAATCAACTACATTAAATTGATTTATATGCTCTGTATACAAAAAACTTCGGCCACAAACTCAGGAATGATTTTGATTTCACACATGATTTTTTTTTTAGAAAGCATGCTCGTGGCTATAAAACTTTGATGAAAGAAGAAACCCTACACCTTTAGGAAAGCGCAGCAAATGAACAAAGGCAAGAGAGATTTTATTATTATTATTATTATTATTGCTTCAGGTATGGGATTGCCTTCCACCTATAAAATTTTGCTTCTTTTGTAATAATTATGATAAGGAATAAGTTCTGAAAAAATTAGCCAAACAAAAGGTGAGATTAATGACGATCATACAGCCTTGTTAGAGCATAAGAAGTACACAGGTGCTTTTATGAAATACAAAGTATTTAAAAAATAATATTTATAAATCATCAAATATTTGAAACCATGTAGCATACCTGTCTGGGTTCAGTCTTGGCCTTAATCGCATGAACATGGCATTTCGTAGGTCGCTTTTGCTCTCACTTTCTCTCGAGCTCCAACTGCAGATAGCGCGAAGGAAGGAGAGATTATTACATGCGTAGGCCAGACACAGAGAACCGTCCGGTTATGTCTTTAAGAATAGTAAAAGCACAATAAAAATGCAGCGATGAAGAATAGTAAAAGCGCAACGATGAACAGTAACAACACTTTTACTGCTTTTTTAATGTTCATAGAGACAAAATCAGACGATTCTCTGTGTCTGGTCACCTCACGTAATAATCTCTCTGAAGGAACAGGATAATGGAAGAGCACTTTTATGCAGCTATGACGCACACCTGGATTAAGGAAGGAAGACTGGAACTACAACTTGTTTTTTTCCGAAAAAATAAGACCCTGATCCTTGCCGCTCTTAATCGACTAGATGGAAGACATGCACGCCACCAGCCGCCCTTGCCTCCTCTCTCGGCCAAATAAAGAAGCATGCTGCCCATGCTTTTCATTCACACAACCTGCACACCGCCTTGCCCTAAGATTGGGATCGACCAGCGGGATGGTCGGGACTTGTTCTATTGAGAGGAAGAGCCCGCAGCTGGGAATCAGCGGTTGATCGAACTTTGGAGTCGGGTCGAAAGACTAGGAGTAGGTTGGAGGCATATATGTCGTGATTGGCGTGGAACTCGTGGAAGTTGAAATGCCCAATGACAAGGCGGGCCGGAGAGCCAAAGGTCGAGAGACTGCCGCGAGCATCGGAGAACGTGACTCCGAGATAAATGAGCTTGAGGAGGTCGACGTTGGTCTATAGTAAACATTTGCAAGTGGGGCATTTCCGCTATTTATGAGCTTCGAAATCGCAAAAAGCAGCAACCCGCAGTTGACCGCGGGAGATATAGTGAAAGGTCGAGCAAAGCAGCTGCAAGCCATGAATTATTTCTAACTTGGCTTTGCCACGATGCCCCCAAACAACAATTTTTTATACAGCAAAGCAATAGTGATGTCGTCCCAAACGGACCCTTAATGATTCGAGAGGAAAAATCAAATTAAGACCCTATGGTTCTATGATTTGGATAGTCACATCACAAGTTTACTTAGTGAAAATAGTAGACTTGACCTGACCCAAGGATCCATGTTAGCAACAATGATTTACATTATGCAAGAGGTGGAAGTAGACAAATGATTGAATCCTGATCAAAAATCAACTTAAAATCTAAAACCAATGGGAGATATAAATATTTCAATAATAGGAAGACACATATGATGATACTTACAATTTGATCACTTGAAATTAACAAGCATAATAATTGATTTTACATCATCTAAGGATAAATGCTTCTAGACCAAGAAACTAAATGCAAGGTTAAATCACCACATGCATACAAAAAATTACTGAAGCAATATTTAAATTAAATCCTTTAAATTGAATTGAATAGTGGAAAAGATAACCTAGCTGCTATATGGGTGGATTATCAAACAGACTATAGTATAATAAAACCAGAGCTTCAGGGTAACCCTCTTTCATCAATAAGTGAATTGGTCCATTTTATCGTATGTCATATAGCCAATGAAATAGAGGGTGCGCACTAGTAAGCAAACCAATTGGACTATTCCTGGTGCCTTTGAGAAGTGATTCTACCTTGCTGTTGACCTCTAACTTACCTCTCCATCTCTCGACGCCTGCACCCGACGGCAACTGTGCACGAGTCCGATCTTCCTTCCCCGAGCCGAAAGCCGACCTAGCCGTTCTCCTGCTCCCGCCGACCTTCCGCTCCGGCCTTGCCGAGTCCGGCCTCCATCCGCTTACTCCATTGGAACGGATCGCAAGCCCAAACCGGCCTAATCTGCTTCCGCCCCAACGAACAGCCACCGGCCTCCCTTCGCCGTCGACCTCCAACTGCCTGCACCCCGTCGACCCGAAGTCCGCCAACCTCGCCGCCGTGCGTGAGCCGCCAGCGTGCCCGGATTCTTCCTAAATCCTGATCCCCCTCTCTCCCTCTCTATTATATATATTATAATATAATCAAGGTTTTGAAAACCGGACCGAACAACGAACCGGAACAAGGAGAGGTTCATGGTTCGACCGGTTCGACCGGTCTAACCGGGGTCGAACCGGATGACGTAATAAATAATAAGTATTATTTAAATTTAATACAATTAACATAAAAATAATGTTATCATTCAAAGTATGAGATAAAAAATTAAATTAAAAAAAACTATGAAACATAAAAACTTATATAATTAAGTAAAATAATTATTTTAAAATCTCACATAAAAGCAAAAAAAAATTTAAATATCATAATTATAAGAATTTACACTCATAAAAATATGATAATTTTAAATTTGAATATTTTTCAAATTTTAAATTTAATTTATATATAACCATATAATTTAATATATATTATTATTAATTTATGTTACATATTTAATATAAATTTAATTCTAACATAAGTTTATAAATTTAATATAAATTATTCTTATTTTATATTATATGATTAAATATATTTTACATGTTTATGATATATTGTATACAAAAGTTATTTTATAAATTTATATCTAAAATCATTAATAAATAAATAAAATTATTAATGATAAATTATTTTTTATTATGTATAAATAAATAAATTTTTATTATTAACTAATAAATAATTATCACTCACATAAAAAATAATTAATTAAAAAATCTGTTTAAAAATAGGTTTTATATCCATTATATATGCTATGAACTCATACACTCCTCATCTCTTTTCTTTAGTCCCACATCCCTTAGAAACACTTTCTTGCTATTGTTTATATAGCATATTTAGATTCCTTGCACCAAGGGAGCACATGGGAGGTCATGTGAAGATGTGTCATGATGCT